TCATAATAATTTCCTTCCCACTCAAACTTAAGAAATTTTCTGTCCTCTAATGCTATTGGGACAGAATAGTAGGCATCCTTAAGGTCGACTGATGCCATAAAGCATTTTGGCCGCATGAGTTTGAGAGCAGTAAGAATATTGTCCATTTTAAAATGCTGGTAATCCACAAATTCATTTAGAGATTTCAAATTAAGAATCATGCGGTAAGTGCCATCCTTTTTGGGTCGCACAAACACATTGGATACAAATCCGTTCCCTGTGTAGCATGTTCTCTCAATAACCCCTTTTAAAAGGAGTTTCGATATCTCCCCATCAATTACCTCTTTGTCAGAGAGGGAAGAATAGATATGTCTAGGTTTCTGTGCTTGATATGGAACCTCAGACTCAAACTCAATGTGGTAATGCTTTATTGCATCAAGTATAAAGGGGTCACTAGTCAGTGACTCCCAAGCAGACACATGTTTCCTTAGTTGGCCTGCTCTAAAATTATTAACCATCCTACGATATTTGTCCAAGCAAGTGTGATAGAAACTTTCATGTTTTCCTACCTTCTCACAACTGGATGGTACTAATTTTTGTTGTTGGTGTTGCTGGCTGATTGCTTTTTCCAGAACGGTGTTGATGGGCGGCCTTGCCCCAAAAAAGACTGGCAGTTGGTTGATTTATTGCCAGAGCCTCGTGTCCGGTCATAATGGTAAGGCTTGAATCTGTTAAAATGCCTTTTTTGAGAGTGCACTGCACCCTGGTTTGAGCTGTTGGAATAAGGCTTTTGCATCTGCTGGCCAGCTTTTTTAGCTTCAGACATATCTTTCAGATGTTTGGAGAGATCGTCTCCAAACAATTTTGTGGACATAGTTATATCCTCTTTACATAAACGTGTGTATGGGGGGTTAAGCTCAGGCTTAATCAATTCTCGTCGCTTCAGGTTGAGCTTCCAATTTGTGTTTCCGAGCATGGCAACGCTATCCATCACATGATCTAGCATCTGCCGCGTGTCTGGCGTTTTGCCATCATTGATGTCTTTTACCAATTTGTCCGCCAATTTGGTCAGGGCTGATATTCCTTGTAACAAGGGTTCTTGAACCCATTGAAAAGCCAGATGCACAGCTTGGTTTTTTCTGGGCAACAAGTCCCAGATTTCTTCATTCACCATTGTTACTGCCAGAAATTTTCAGTTTTCTGGCGGTGGAAGTTTCTCCACTCTTTCCTTGACCGTTTCGGCTGATAATCCCCCGATAAGCATATTATCGATTAATTCGGCAATTTTGCCTTCACTGGCAGGGGAGGTGACTTTAGATGTGGTAAACGCCTGGGTCAGGCTGTCTACCAAAACACTCCGAGTCGGCCCTGATTCAGGGCTCTTCACAGAGGTCGTCTTGCTGCTGTCGCTCGAGTCGAGCACATTGTTGAGAGTGGCCGCTATGTCTAGCGTATTATCACTCGTGTTATCATCTATCGCAGGAGTATCCTCAGAATCTTCGTCGTCAGAGCAGAGAAGAATGTCCTCCTTCCAATTCTGAATGGCTTCTGTCTGTAGTTCCGAGTTCTTGGTGAGTTGTGCTAGTGTCGTCTGAAGGCCTTGCAGGACCGTCGCCATGTTGACTTCGGACGTTCCTTGATCGTTTTCTCTTGTTTCGCTGGATAAATCTGCCAGGCCTGGTTCCCCTGACAGAGCCATGACTTCTGATACTTCTTGTGTTGATTTAGAACTTTGGAAACGAAAGAACCTCCTAGAAACTTCCAAAAAGAATCGTTTTCCTCACCGGAGAGAAAAACACGGCTATACTGATATCGCGCGCGAAAAGGCACTGATGTTGCGCATGCGCTAGGCAATCTCATGGGATCCCTGGGGCAGTGGTGACGAGATAGAATCTGAACATGTTATGAAGAACAAGAATTGTCCAACCAATTTAAAAGATGCTTTTAATTTTTTCTAATATTTTATTCACCTACAATAACTTCGATCCAGTGATTAACGTAATCTATTGTACCAATTTAAACTATCTGTGCAAAAATGAAGTACTAAATGTTTCTTAAGAAAGTTATAGTTATTATGTAGACAATCATTGATTTAGGAATAACAGTAATTGACAGATAATAATAGAATGTCCTGGTCCTTTTATTTTTTTGATAAGAAATCAAAGTTCACAATGTTAGTAATTTTATCACTCTACTGACAAGACTTTATAATCAGTGTCAAGATATTTGATAACAATTTTCTGTTTTCTTTGAAAATCATGAGCTTGATATTATATGGTGTCATTGCGTCCTTTATTTCAAAAGTTGAATCCCATTACAGATAGAAGCTGTTGAGGTTGTTGGTGTGGCAAAATGAACCACAGCTCTTTGTTATGTTCAGTAATGACCAGTATGCAAAGATTCCATACTGTACAGTGTAGGGAAATTTTCCAAAAGCTGGAAAACACCACATGAATTGCAATCTCCCATTACGTTATTTGTGTAAAGGATAACTTTTTTAAGGAATGAAGCAAATGAAATTTTGTTGATGGCCATGACTTTACATCAAACTCTTACCATCCACGAGGCCATAATTATTGTCAAAATCAGCCATTAGTCTGTCAAATGCAGCTGGTTGTTCTGTGCTAAAGTCTTTGGATTGTCAAGGTACCTATCATTCTATGAGACCTTTTTACCTCAGGATTTTGAACAAGCATGTTGTGATGACATCCAGTATATCAATATATTCCTCCTACAGGCCAAGCTTTAATGAATCTGTTTCATCTTGTATTTTACCCTCTTGCTTCTTCAGCAGACTTTTACTTTAAGTGCAGATCACTTTGGATGGAGAACTAGCTGGTTTAGCTCACAAATTGAGGGGTTGGTCTGGTGTCAAATTTTGAAGGGATGTTACTGTAAGGGCTTCAGAGGAATCAAACTCTGATTGACAATCAAACAAGTACTTGAAGTTTGTAATTTTGACTTAGCTTGTGGTCACTTGGAGAGTGGTTCAATAACTGTGTTTATTGTAATTACAGATTGAAGAATATTTGACAAAAAGACATGATAAAAAGACAGTCAAAAAAACTTCTATGGTACACACACACCCTTCACAACCCATTTCCAGATTTATTGAGTAACAAGTGGTAGCAGTAGCTTTGCATCGATTGTGGAGGGCATTATATTCAATAAAATGATGACATGCTCAGTTATAGTGATACACAAAGCAGAACATGAAATTAATAATTTCAAAAACTGCAAACTCTTCTGGTTCATTAGGAAATTATGCAAGCATCTAGAAGTAATGTTAAGAACTTTTAAAGCACAGTCAATTTAATTTCAAATCTAGCGACAAAATAACTCAAAGAAAATAGCAACAACTCAACTACTTTACTCACATTACACCCAAGTGTATTTTGCATTAGAGAATCAAACTGAATGAAATGTTAACAATAAAAATTTTGAACGAAAACAAAATGCAAGTTTTTCTATCTACTAATTAGCATGTGCCTGTTTAGATATCTTTCTCTTGGGTAGATACCTGTCAATGGCCTTTTGACGATCCCATCACAGCTGTTCCTGGTGTGTCAATGACAGCGGAAAAATTTTGAATATTGTTTGTTTGATCTTGATTATTTTTACACGAACCAAGGGAAGCTTTTTCTGATCCCCATTACATTCGTCCATCTGATTCATCCAGTTATGAGAAATGCCATTGGTATTGGTAAGCCTACCTCGTGTAACTGTATGATTGAAACAACTATGGATTTGGCATTGAACATGATCTGCAAACATGGAGAGATAAAAAGGCCCTTCGACCCTGTGTTTATTATTATTGCAGTACTGAACTTTCTGGATGCTGAGCTTACTTAAAAAAAAAAAAACCTAATTTAAAAAAGACGTCCTAACCTTTGCTAGAAAGACTGGCCTCTGGTTACTATCAATTTTGCTAACTATTTACAACCTATCAATTAGACAGCAACCTTGAATGTCAGGGCGATGCAGAGGGTACTTGAAATGACCGATCTCTGCATTAGCCTTAAGATTTCTCTACATCTAGAACTTAGGAGCATCCTGAGGGATCTTTCTATGTCCACACTCCAGCCTCCCAACACATCTATGATCACATTGTATTAGTTGATCTTGTAACCCTTGTACTGTGCTTTCATCTCCCATTGAAGCGGTCCATACTTGAGTGTTTTCTCTTTATTATTATTATTATTATTTCCTCAAAGTCTTGCTCTTTTTTCTTATGGTGCTGAGTTCAATCAATGAGCCTAGGGCAGTCATAAGTCTGCTGGATTACTTGATGGACAAGGAGAACAGTCTTCTGTAGCTCTACTATTCTGATATTGCCTGGGATCTTGCCAATGTAGGTTTTTATTCCCTTCTTAACAAGCCCAAGAACTTCAATGATCACTGGGACGGTTGTTGGTTTCATTCCCCATGTTTTCTCGATTTCGATCCCAAGATCTTTGTACTTGGAGAGTTTTTCTGCTGTTTTCAAGGGAGTATTCCTTTCTGTGGGGATAGACATATTGATGAGCATATAAGTTCTCTCCTCCTTATCTTTTACCACTATGTCTGGCCTGTTTGCTTTAATCTTTTTATCAGTTTGGATTGGCATGTCCCAGAGTATAGTCGCTGTTTGGTTTTCTGTCACAGTAGATGATTCATGTTGTAGTATTTATCTTGCACTTTGATGTTGTGGTGTTTGCATATTATCCAGTGGAGGGTAAGCTGCAGCTTTGTTGTGTCTTTGTACATACTCTGTCTTGGCAAGTTCTGGGCATCTGGAGACAAGGTGGTCAATTCTTGAAATTGCCCACAGATTCTGCACATTGGGTTGGTGCCATCTTTCAGGATATTATTATTATTATTATTATTATTATTATTATTATTATTATCATCATCATTATCATCATCATCATCATCAGTATCAACATACAAAGGCTTGCACTGCTTTGTGTAACCCTGCTTTAAGTGCTTACATGATACTGGTGCCAAAAATCATGAGTTTGGAAAGATTAATCTCTGTGGATTTTAATATATGACTTACTGATTGTGTAGACCATCATGCTTAGACATTAGATTTCTCCATAATGCATAGGTCTGGCAACAACAAGGGGAAGAATGAATAAAGTGGCCATCTAATTCATTGTGTGGTCTTTTCTTCCTGAGAAATTTCTGCTTTAAAGAGGTTGCTAAGTAGTTCCTCAACATTTTCTCTTGGAATTAAGTAAGGATCGATAGTATTGACCACTTTTATAAATGGCTGCTAGATTGATATTCTTTTGTTTAAATTTAAATTAGCCTTTCTGGCCTCATTCTCCAGTTCAAAATTCAAAAGAATGCATTATCTCGAGTGAGGCTAGTGAGGCTAATTTGAATTTAAACAAAAGAATATCAATCCGGCAGCCATTTATGAAAGTGGTGTATAATTGGCAATTTCACGCACATATTCCCTCTTAACCATTGTGTGTGCTTAAGGGAGGTCTGGTCATAAAAATTTACTTCTAGAGCTACTTGAGATTTCTTTCATTCTAAGATCATATACCACAGCTGCTGTAAGCCCTGCTGTAACCAAAAACTAACATTTCTGTTGATCAAAATGCTCTTTTGACTGTAGGGTGTGCACTTACCTGCATCTGGTTTTGTGTTATAGAATATTGCAATAGTATCTTTGTAACATACATATACAGACTCGATGTTAATTTTATTAAAAGAAGATAATTATATAAAATGAAGTGGAATTAATTTATTCTAACACCTTTAATGGTATTAAAAATCGTAAAAACTGTCATTAACCTTAAAAGAACAACACTCTTGGGAGAGTGGCCAAATCAAAGTACTGACTTTGTTAGTGGCACTAAGTTACACAAGAGGGGTCGTGTAACAGGAGATTGGAAAGACTGTCTTTCCTTGAACAACATAAAATGATAAAAATGACAACCTCTAGCCTTACATTTATTTTTGTATCTGTCATATCATTATAACAACTAAACGAGAAAAATGGGTTGCAAATTTTTAGCTAATGGATTTTGCCACAAAAAACTTACCTAACTTTTCAAATTTTAAATGTAAAACATATTGCAAACACTGGTACATCGGGGGCAATAGTTGAGTGGCAGCAGTAATTGACAAGCTGCAAGCCAAGTTTAAGAAAAAGTTTAAAAAAGTTTTTGGAAAGAAATTAAAAGTGGAGTGATGAGAAACTTATTTATTGGTCACAAAATTGAATGAATGCCCATGGCAACTCGCTAACATTGAAAGCCGAGAATGATTTATTGAACAACAGTTTGTTTGTTGGGTTGTTCCAGCCTAGTAGCTGGATACTCGATATGGACACACAAGTTTTCCCTTTCGTCGCAAATTTCTTGAGAGTGTGGTATGTTTTCTCTTGAGGTGAACTGCTGTTTACAAGTCGAGCTGTGGTAGAAACTGTAAACAGGTCTGCACCAGAATGGAGATTCCCTGCAGATTAAGAGGTCTCTTATTGGAGAAGATTTAATACCACTTACAGCAAGAAATATAGGCGTTGCTTATGGATATGAATGCTCTTTTATGAGCCACTAAATATGCTCAAGCAATGATTAGTGTGGCTGCTAAACACCAGTGGTTTCCTGAAGCATGGTTAACAAGTGTGCAACCCACTGGAAATCTATACAATGTACATGTAGGATGCTCTTCAGTCATACTGGGTGCCTGTTAACTTGAAATCAAAGTTGTCAAAAACCAAATTTCCTCCTTTGTACACAATCACAATGACAGACAGTTCCGAGTGGCCTTCATGCATAGGAAGAAAGCTGATGGAAGATGGTGCTTCAGTTGGTGCTTGATGTTTTTCTGAAGTAATGGTAAAATGTCAAAATCTGTAGGATAATACTCCCCTTTTAACAACTTGATTTGAAAGGAAAATGGCTCATGAAGTTGTAAGTATCCTGGTCAGCATACACCATGTGTGCATAAGAGTCGTGTAGCTGTAAAAAACAATTATATATAAGGCAAGATGTGGGACACAATATTCACTAACATTATGATGGAACAATATGAATGAATTTTCAGAGGGGAAGATCAATGAAAAAGTGTACCACATTTTTTATGAAATCAGTGCTTATAAGATATCAATTTTTTAATAACTATTAAAGTAGTAAGATAGATTACTGGTACTTCCGTCATTGCTGAATGAAGATTGTAGTTGCTTCTTGCTATGAATTAAGGATACTTAACAGAATGGTTCGTGCAAACTGATTGATACTCAAATTATCCCTAAATTGTACAACTTGGTAGTAATTATCAATTGCTTTACTCTTGTACATGGAAATATGTTCTTTAGCAAGACTGCTGCAGATATGCACATAGATGGCCTAAAAAGAAAATCATTCATTCTCTTGCCCTATCTCATGTTTCCTGTCCATGGTAAAGCTCTAAAGAAGGATCCTTTTGGCTTATGTTAACTTAAGTGGTCATCCTCAACAATCCAGCACTTGAGATCTCTAACAACTTGGATTCTGTTAAGAACAAATTGTAATACACTGTCAGGTGACCTCCTTGATCACCTTGTATTGAACTTGATGCAAAGGCTTTCTTGGGCCTCTACTTCTCCATGCTTCATTTTGTGTGCCTGGGTGTGGAATTATAATAAATGGAAATACATAATTGCAATTTTGTTACCTTTAATTGATCTCTTTAGCCACATGACCCTTAATTTGTGCCGCATTTCTTAACTGCCTTGCAGTAGGAACCTATCTTAAAGAGATTCTGAGTGTTTTTAGTCCGCTCAAGATCCTAAAGTGGCATACCAATATACCAAAAACCTAACTGACAGTATTTCTTCCATTCTTCATTATATTCTTTTGGCACAACTAGGTACTAACAGCTGAGAAAGTAAATATTAGAAGCTGTAATACTGGGACAATGTTTTGAGACACTAAAACATAACCATTAGTCTAAACCAATACCACTGTATTGAAGGAGGTTTTGGTAATACTCTAGGGCTTTACTGTAATTTGAACCCTTTCACTACATATGCAAATGAGGCCTAACATCATTGTTCTTGTTACTTAAATAGCATTCTCATAAGAGTTTCAGACAAAATCACGTCATACATGCCTACATTCAAACAATTATTGACAAACATGGCGACTGGTCGCAGTTTTCTTTGCTCCAGCCTTACGCTATTCCTGCTGGCTTACCACGCAATATATTGGTCTACAAAGTCTCACAGTAGTGTTTCTATCAACAATCTTCAATTAAGTGTGAAGGTGTAGTCTGATCGTCCGGGTGAGTGTAGTCCTGAGAAGGACTGTTGTCGGTGGCAGTGACTGACGTTTCGACAACCTGTGCGGAAGTCATCATCAGAGTCAAGTGAGTGATTGTTGTCAGTAGAATGTTCTTATTCCAGTTCGTGTGAAATGATCGGTTGGTTTTGCCGTGATGTTATTGGCTGTAAGACTCAAGTGACGTAAGTCGTTCGTGATTGGTCTGTTTCGGTCTGTCGGTAAAGCTAGGTTGTTCTTTTTCGGTCGTTTGTGATGTTTATGTCGTGAATGAGTCGTTTGTATGGGGCGGGTAGTTGTTGACATCTGTTTAGGGGAGTCTGTTCTAAGTTAGTAAACCAGCTTTCCAGAGTCAGTCGTTGAAAATAGTCAGTGCTGTAGGTTAGGCATTGCGCAGAGTCCCAGTCAATGTTGTGGTTKGTAAGTCGATGGTGTTCAGCAATGAGATTGCTGACATCACCTTTCCTCGTCGCCCGTCTGTGTTCACTTAATTTAAAATCTGACTTGTAAGAGGGGGTTTCGGCTTATAGCTGAGAGGTTTAACCTGAACAAAAATAATGGACTTAATAAAACTAAGATAAATAAGCATATATTCGCATACAAGCCGAGCAAAAGACATGAACAAAAAAGCAAGAGTTGTTGGTCATTAACTTTTAATATGTGGTGGCTCCTAAAGGAGCCGTTTGTTTTCTGTCATGAACTGCACGTTCGAGGATGTCAGCTTATGGCTCATCTTCGCTTTCCGTATCAAATTCTTCGTCCATCTCATCTTCTTGGGCATCAGTGTCTTGCCCCTCTTCATAGATAGCATCATCCTCAGTGCCGTCAAGCACATTGGATATGCCGCAACTAAGAAATGATTTCCTCACCATCTCCTCCGGGATCTCCCTCCAAGACTGCTTTATCCAACGTAGAACGAGGTTTCTTGATGGCACTTTCTTTTTCCCAGCAGGAGTAAACTCGAAGGGGCCAGTTACCATCCACGACAGGTACTTTCTTCTCATATTCTCCTTGAAGGGCTTATTTAGACGCTTGTCTAAGGGCTGGAGAACTGTAAACTTTAAACTTTAAACCTCAATGATAAATACTCCCAAAAGAATGTTTTTCAGTACCTATTTACAAATATGAATGCTAACTATATCTGACAAGGTATTGTTAAATTCTAAATTCTGTCACTTGATCATTTGTTCATGGCAAGTTTCAGAACTTTCTTAAAGGCCTTTAAAGATGTAACATTTCTTAGGTCTTTGTCTAACATGTTCCACAGAGATACTGCTCTATAGGCAAAGGACCTTTGGCCAGTAACTCATCTGAATAATGGAATGTCAATCTTCTCATTATTACGAGT